TATGTATATATATAACATATATAAAGAGCTCCATATATATATGAAGGAGCTCTGGTAGCATAGTGGTTATGAATCAGGCTGCAAACTCCAAGGTCAGCAGTTCAAAACTACCAGCTGTTCTGCAGGAGAAAGATGAGGTTTTCTGCTCCCATAAAGATTTACAGCCTCAGAAACCCTATATAGGGTCGCTATGAGTCAGAACCGACTCCATGGCACATAACAACAACAACATATATATATACATATATCTTAAAGAATAAGCTAACACTAGTAGGCAGGGGCTAGATAATGAATGATACTGAGTGATATGCAAAAATGTTTAAATTTTATTCTAATGGTAACAGATGTCATGGAAGCAAGGAAGCAATGCAATCAAACCAGCAGACAGCAAAGTGTGGAAGTGAGACTGGAAAGGGGCAAGATCAGAACTGAAAAGCTGAACCAATAGGCCATTAAAGATATGTCTACACCCATAGTACCGATGGTCAAAAATCTAATAAAGAATCCAGGAGAATCTGTGCTAATTTTAATGATGAAGAAACAGACATGGAGAAATGAAAAGACAGAAAGCCATAGTTATTAACAGTCTTCTCACTGTTACTCTAGTAGTCTGAACTCTAATCAAAAAACCCACTACCGTTGAGTTGGTTCCAACTCATACCAACACTACAGGGTTTCAAAGGCTATATAAAAGTCTTTACAGAAGCAGACTTCCATGTTTCTCCCTCAGAGCATGCTAACCACCATGCCACCAGCACTGTTTGGTCTGAACGTGAAGCTACCCTGTTAAGAAAGAGCAGATTTATCTTCCTTGATCTACAAATACAGAAACTATTTCTTGTGAACAGAGTTTTCACATACACATATAAGTGTCAGATCTGGAGCTAGAACACAAGTCTTCTGACTGTAAGTCCAGAGTGGTCTTGCGTTTTAAAAAAGCAGTTTTCTCATCTCTCTGCCATAATTAGAGATCACAACGGTTCCTTATTGCTTGATAAGAGTACTTCCATGTCCCTTAAACAAACAATAACTAAGGGGGAATCTGATGCAGACCATGCAGACCCGGTCAGGAGGTCAAGACCCTGTGGGCCCAAGCATTGTTGAC